ACACACACACACACACACACACACACACACACACACACACACACACAAAAGTCTCCGCCCAGCAAAGTAGTGCTGTAACCAGTCTGGCAGGAACGCGTGGTGGTATTAGCAAGCTAGCTAAGTAGCCAGCCACGCTAGCTTATTTCCCCATCCTCTCTTCTCTCTAATAGTTTAGCCTATTAGCAGAAGGCTAAGCTAAACTATTAGCAGCATTTTCTCTCCATCTCTGAAATGCTTCTCAGATGTCGTAGCTCACTAGAATCTCGCTAAAGTCCATGTGACACAACCTGCGTCACACAGGCTCCATCATCATGTCGGAGGACCTGCGTGACGCTCTCGACTGCACGTTCGATGCCCGGATCCCCCGCCTGTGGCTGCGGCTCAGCTGGCCGTCGGCGACGCTGGGCTTCTGGTTCAGCGAGCTGCTGGAGAGGAACCGGCAGCTCGGCGGCTGGATCGGCACCGGCCGACCCAACCAGTTCTGGCTCACCGGCTTCTTCAACCCGCAGGTGGGTTCAGACTCGTCCAGAACCGTTAGTCCTCCGTCACGTCACAGCCGTCTTGAGTGCATGTTGTTGTTGTTTTTTCTCGAAGGGTTTTCTGACCGCGATGCGCCAAGAGACGACACGAGCCAACCTGTCCAGAGGCTGGGCCTTGGATACCGTCACCTTTACCAACGACGTCACTAAGATGATGAGGGAGGACGTGTCGGCTCCGCCCCCAGAGGACGTGGGCGGAGTCTACATCTACGGCCTCTTCCTGGACGGGGCGGGGTGGGACCGGCGCAGCGCCAAACTCTCTGAGGCCCCGCCCAAGGTTAGTGTGTGTGTGTGTGTGTGTGTGTGTGTGCTTTTTAATTGAAGTAATAATAATAACTAACAGTAAAATATAATGTTTAACAATGTTTCAATGTGGCTGTATATAATATATATAAAATAACAAGATGTCTCCTCTCAGGTGCTCTTCACTGCGCTCCCTGTGGTCCACATCTACGCCGTCAGCTCAGCCAACATGGCCGACAGTAAACGGTCGGCGGTCGGCCTGTACTCGTGTCCGGTCTACAAGAAACCGCGTCGGACCGACCTGAACTTCATCTTCTCTCTGCAGCTGAGGAGCCTGCAGCCTCCGGAGCACTGGACGCTGAGAGGAGCCGCGCTGCTCTGCGACTGCAAGTGATACTCCGACTGAAGCTCTACTGTGATAGGTTCAGTTCACTCTCAACTCTTTATTTCATTTATATTAAAAACTAATCAACAGGCAGAAACTCAATCTGAGGCTTTAGCATCTGAAACAAAACACAGATGATGCTAAGCTAATGGAATGTCTCGATAGAGCTGGTGTTTATTGTTGTTTCTGATGGTGTCATATTGTGATATTAGGAGGAATCTGGCACAGTTTGTCACTAACCTGCTTGCACACATCAGTAGAAACTCAACAACAAGATGGAGAGAAACGTTCTGTTTGTTTGAGAAGTTTCTCTTCTTTTTAAGTCCGACACTGTTTCCTGTTTCTTGACACTGACGTGTGTGTTTGGCTCTTCATGGTTTTCACCTGAGCTTTAAAATCAATCAAACAACTAAACCTGCAGAAAGTGCTTTCTCTAAACCGACACAGATTCACTAGAAGGAGTTTTTATTCAGATTCCTCTCCTGTGATGAACATTTAAAAACACCAGAGAAACAAACAGAGAAAGGTCTGTGATGTGCTGATAACATGTCAGCAGCTGAGAGGAGATATAAACTCACAGACGTATCAGAATCATCATGTTTGTCCACCAGAGGGCGCTGACCAGAAATAACCAAACACAAAGTATGAGTCACAAAACTAACACAAACACTCTGAAAGCCTCTACACACACACACACACACACGTTATGTTATAAATACTTTCACACGGAACCGAATAAATAACACAAAAACACAGAAACATATAAAACAAAAATAACGTTTGTCAGCTGAAACACAAAGAAGCTCAAACAGTTTTCTGGACGACGGGATGATGAACACTGAAGCGTTCAGTCTTTGTGTTTAAGGTTCAACTGAACCGTGAGAAGATAGAAACACTGTTTATTGATTTCAGCTCTCGGATGTTTGTAGCTTTATTTCTCAGAGGTTTGTTTCTCTCGTCTGTTCGTGAGGATGAAGATGTTTGTTTGGTGAATTTGTTCATAAATTATAAATAAATGAATCAAACTTAATGTAACGTCTGTTTTTATATTTGTATACTTAAACAATAAACTCATCTTCACCAGAAGATGAGTTTACTCATTTGATCTCTTTGAGTCACATTTAAATGATAAGACATTTAAAAGTAAAAGACTTTAACAATGAAGGGATGAATCCTTCAAAATAAATCACCAGAGCAGTGAAGCTTGTTTCTTTATTGATGTTTATGTAAAAGAATCTCATGAGAGGAGATGTATGAACAGAGATCCAACCAGAAAACCAAAGTCAATCAGACTCTCAAGAAGAAGAAACACAGTTATTATATTCAGAACTTCAGTTTCCTTCATTTAAATCTCTTAATATGAAGATGAAGCTCATCGTGTGTTTACAGGTCGGTGTTAAAGATTCTCTGACTGTAATTATTAAAAACAGACTCAAGAGGACTTTTATTTTCTCTGTAATGTAACAGCTGTGACAAACTGCAGTCATGCAGTCACGCTAACATGCTAACACGCTAAAAACAGACAAGAAACCTGCTTTATGTTCAGCTTGATGACATCATATTCATATTCAAAACTGTTATTATTTCAAATAAAATAACTTTAAAATGAAAGACGGGCAAATTACCTGACAATAAACGATTCAACAGTAAATTCTGAAGACTTTATGAATTCTTCTCTCGGGTCGGAGGTTTGATGCCTTCGTGCTTCTGTTTACACAAAAAGTGAGTTTTCTTCAACAAAAACATCCGTTTTCTTTTTCTTTTTGTTACAAGTCTGTGATGTATGACACTAACACTTCATACACTACACCTTTATATTCTGAATCAATCATTGATGTTTATTAATCAATCAATAATAAAGACCTCTGACCCTGCACCTCCAGTGCATTGATCATGTAAAGGTGTTTGTACCATATATTTATTTATATGTATAGGTATTTAGCTCCGTTATCGTCTCCTAAATATTCTCTTCTTGGTGTTGAGGCGGATGAAACATGGCCGATATGAAGTTTGCACAATTAAAACTATTTTCTCTCATTCCTCTCGATAGTCGAGCCGACCTGTTCGTTTACGGTAGATTAACGTTTAGTTCATTCGCTCCTCACCAGCTGATGGAAACGCTCCTCACTTCTTTTTGTTCTGCAACATCTCGTAAGTTTCCTCAACGTTCGCTGGACAATTGAACGCAGACACGGCTTCTGTTAAGTCCACTTTATTCAAGTCAGAGTTTTTAACCTTTTTAACTTTAATCATTTCACTGAGTGCAGAACTCTTCATCTCATTACTCCTCCAAACCTCTTACAGAACCAGACAAACCACGAGCCCGTTACAGTTTCATCTCCCAACATTTCCACCTCCCCATCATGCAAACACATGTGAACAGCAGCGGCGCGATGAAGGGGAACGTTTCATCTGGAGAAGAACACTTTTGTTCTTTTATTTCCCAAAGTCAGTGTTGATTCAACATAAAACAAAAGAAAGACTATTTGCTAATAAAAGTCCAGAACACACTGTGAAGTAGCCGCCATGGTTTCAGGACTCTGTTTGGTTCTCTTGATGTTCAGTCAGATTGGACTCACTTCCCTCAACACAAGGTTCACCTTCACTACCTGCCGCTCTGCTTGGTAGCAGCAGCCTTTAAAAACCTCTCTTTGCGCCCTCTTCGTGGTCTCAGTGGTCCAGAGAAAATGGCCCAGATCTTCCTTCGCTGTCCGGTGGTTTACGATAGCTGCTTCATGTCGTACATCGGCACCTCGGACTCGTCCGCCTTGCCCTCGTCGTCGGCCGCCTTGGCAGCGGCGGGGCTGCCCTTGCGTCCTTTGGGAGGCGGGACGGGTGCGGCTCCCTCGGCGGCGCCCTCGGCTCCTTCCTGGCCCTCTGCGACGGTCCTCTCCTTCTTCAGGTTCAGCTTGGCCGGGACGCTCTTGCTGATGGTTTCCTTCAGCCTCTCGCCCGACTGCTTCAGCCTCTCGCCGGACTGGCGGATCTTCTCGCGCCTCTCGGCAGTCACGATGCGCTCGCCGAACTTGTTGACCTTGGTGCCGAGGTTGTCGCGGGTCTTGCTCATGTTCTCCTTGGAGAAGGTGGCTTTGAAGCTCTCGATGCGCGTCAGCCCCGACTTCTTCATGCGGCCGCCGGCCGAGGAGTCGGCCTCCTCCACCACCATGTACTCTTCATCCGAGTCTGGAGGGAGCTCAAACTTGTCCGGTTCCACCTCGGCTCTGGCACCGGAGCTGCCGCTGGGTTCTGCTGGCTCGTTGCCCGGTGAGACAGCCTTCACCTCCTGGTCACCCTGAGGGAGGAGAACATAGAACCGTGTGAACCCGGGAGAACATCATGATCACAAGACTATTAGTTTTTTCCTCTTAGTCATATGAAGACAGTGTAACTGTTGATGTCTGGTTTAAACCTGTCTCAGGTTAAAGTGTGTCATGCAGGCCTCGTTCCTGCTTCCGCAAATAAACTGCAGCACCTGTTTCTGCAGCTCAGCGCTCGGCTGCAGGGAGCTAAACTTATCAGCGAGCAGCAAAGCTGGATCACTTTCAGCTTCAGGCCAACGTCACGCATTCGTCTCCAACTCAAAGATCCGGTTACAAGAACATGAAGTGGAGAGAAAATGTTCAAGCCGAGGCTGCAAACTGTCCCAAGTCCCTGCAGACGAGATTCACTTTGAGGAGGTTGACCCTGATTCACCAACAGGCTGTCTCACTCATTCATACTGGGAGCTGACCAGAACAACAGCAGCCACATTAACACACGTGAACACAGAGTCAACAATACAAAGACACAGAAAGCCACATGACAACCCGTCATGAGATGCAACGGGATTAGAGCTTCTGGTCCTTAAACACTTGAGGAGAAACTCGCCCAGTTTAAGTCGTAGAGCAGTTGACAGAGGCTGTTTTCTACTTTTTGATCTACACTTGTAGTGAAATGTGAGCGGCACAGATGGCCACACATTTACTTAATACCACCTTCACCCTCCTCAAGACCCCCTGAAGGCCCCCAGACACCAGTTTGGACAACATCTGATCTAGGAAGCAAAGTGAGAAAACTGATTTTTCTGAGAAATGTGACCTTTGTTGGATCAGTCCTGGATGATTTCATCCATGAAGTTGACTAAACATTCATGCTAGTTCGCTAAGTAGCCTGTAGCATGCTAATGGGGTCACTAGGATCTTTGAATAAATGCATCACAAGCACAATATGACACCCGACACAGAGGCTGACATTTCCAAAGCTTAACGGTAATAACTGAGAGTCCGCTAACAAGCAGTGTAATAACTACACCAGCTCCTCTGAAGCTCTCTAATGAACACGTTTGTTTAATTTGTGTCTGAATGAAGCAGAACCTGTGTTCACTGCTTGTATCTGGTTCTCCAACGAGAGGCGGAGATACGATCAATACGCTGCTGTTCTCCAAGAAATAGAGTCTTATTATAACTGATGTGTATTTTAGAACTTTGGACAAAACTAGGCTAAATGTTTCTAGACTTTATGCTAAGCTAGGCTAACCATGGACTGACTCCAGGTCCGTACTATCTATCTTCTCATCGGTACCGGTGATGGAAACGTTTCTAAACTCAGTGCTACATTTCTGTCACTTCTCAGTATCGAGTATTGAGGTACTTTGGTTTTGTTGTTGATGTCAGTGAATGAAACTACAAAGTTCTCATAAAAACGTGTTCCTGTGCAACACGAACAGAACTGGGGACGCGGAACCAATCAGATACCGGTGTTTGATGAATAAGCTGTAAGTCTCACTGTGGAAGAGACTGGGATCAACAGGCTTTCCTAACTCTGTAAAAACATTAATACCTAGATATTAATGTGCTGAATTGGTCTTTGTTAAACCATGAAGAACCAACGTTTGGTCACTGAGCGGCATTTTGAAAAAATTATACCAAAAGATAATTTTGTTCAAGTACATAAAATATGCGTCTGTCCAAAAGAAACTGCAGACGTCAACGCAAATGACATTACATTCAATGAAGACATCATGAGGACTTGTTGAGGACTTGGTCCCGCCTCTGATCGTCACCGATACCTGATCCAGTTATTGGAGTCAGTACCGGGGCCGATATCGGTATCGGTGCGTCTCTAAACAGAACACAGTAGAACACGAGAGGTTCTCCTCTCCGAGACAGGGAGGAGTGGTCAGAGAGGCAGGGGTCAAAGGTCATGAGCCCATCTGATCCTATGACATCACAGTTACGTGCTGACTGACAGGATCTCTTCCGGAGGTCCAACTCAAATCTGTCAGAACGAATCAAACGGCGAGCGCAGCCTGTTAGCGGCTAACAAAAACGATTTAGATGTTCGTCGGTTATAAATCAGAGAGAGAGAGCAGACGACTATATTAGGAGATGGTTCACACTCAGAATAACCTGGTCTGTCAGCGCTCAGCTGGCACAGTCACTTACGCTACAGAAACCACGTAGCATCCTGCTAACTGAGTTTATTCGTGGGGTAAAAGGAAGAAATCTTAATTTCCCGGCTTCTGATATAAAAGTTATCTCTACATGGACACAAATATCTCCATCCCAAAAGACATCAACACAGCAGCAGTGTGCACAACGCAGCTGAAGGTCTGCTCAACGTGTGACCTCACTGCAACCGGACCCGGGTCCTTACAGAGTCCACATTACTGTAACCCAACCACACCCAGAGAGCCATGTAGTTCTCAACAAGCTCGGTAACGCCGCTAATATGCATGCTACATATATATCAGAAGTTATTGTGTTAGCATTGTAGCATGCTAATGGTATCATGGTAAGATACATGCACTTAGCATGCTGAAGATATGTAGTTCGTTATATTCAGCGCCTTTGATGACGACTTGGTGAGAATAACATTCGATCTGTTACAAACAGGACATTCAAGTGGTTTTATTTTCTCCTTTTGGTGAAGGAGCACAAATGTAGTTTGTAAGGCTTCAATATCTCATCATTTTCAAGTTCAGTGGCATCTTTCACCTCCTAACCCAACACAAATATATACGGCTATGTAAAGAAGTGAAGCTGGAGCTGCACTCTAACGTTTTCAGATGCACCTTGAAGATTATTTTTTTAAAGCATAAAAGCCAAATAATCATCCACAAATGTGCTCGTGCTAAATGAAGAGCCCGCTCCGTGAGCTTCAGATCGCTGGTGTAACCTTTCAGCATACTGACGTTTATCCAGAGCTAAAATAACCAGCTCTCCATCGCGCTGGCAGCTGCTGACTGTGAAGGCCAAAGAAGTAAAACCAAGCTGTGTGTGTGTGTGTGTGTGTGCGTGTGCGTGTGTGTGTTGCTATTTCAAACTGAGATGCTCGTTGACTAATACAGTTAGCCGAAGGAATGTTGAAGGAACTCTTGCTCAGTGGCCACATGTGTCTTCTCACAACAGTCACTTCATGCAAGACTTCAGCATCTTGACGATCTCTTTGATTTTAATATATATATATTTTAATATAAATATATAGAATAAACGGTGCCAGTATCAGTAATCTGGATCTTAAGCGCGTAGAAACAGACTAACGGCAGCATTTAGTATCTTTCTGAAACGTTCTTCATGTTTCTGGACCTTTGGGCGATGCATCCAAAGGCCTTCTTGTGTCGAGATACATGAAGAACTTTCGCATGTTGCAAAATCTCCTTCAGTCATTGAAAGTTACTAGAAATCTGCATCCAATCAAGAGGCAGCACCTTTGTGTCTTTCACAAACTTGTTGCCTTGACTGTAGAGACTGGACTCTGGACAATCCTTCAAACATCAACTGGCACTTTTTGGGCCTTTTTTAGTCCCACAGAACAGTTTGCCTCCTTTAGTCTACCAGGAAGTGATCATTATAATTAGAGTTCTGTTATTTAAGTCCTTTAGTTAGCCACATGCCAACCCTGAGGCCACCACTACAGACCCCAGACCCTTTGCTTTGGCTCCAGAGTGATGGTGACCAACAGAACCTAAATGTACTGGAGCTGGTTTTTGAAAGGTCTTCATGAGTTGCTCAGTTCTTTTGTAACCGAAGAACAAATTAATATCAGTCTAATCCGATCAGGGAGGGAGAGTACTTGTTTAAGATTCGCAGGTTAACTGTCCTCGGGACCTCTTTCAGATCGGGGTTCTTTTTTTGCAGAATGAATTTAAGCTTGTTGGGTTCAGGTAGGTTCTCCACGGAATCTGTTCCAGACCAGGTTCAAGTCTTCTGACCTGTTTTATCCAGTAAACCAGCTTCTGTGCTCTGACTAGAAACCCTACGAGCATTAGGTTTCACAGTGCGTTAAGTTTCTAGAAGAGAATCAACATCCTTCTGCCTCAATACAAGAAGATTTACTTCAGCAATCAATACCCGAGAGGCAGCTGATCAGAACCCCAGAGGTCCGTGTCCACTGGTGGTAAAGTACCTGAAGCATATCTTACCTGATAGATGACCACCCTGAACTTGTTCTTGGCCAGGAGGTCTCCCTGGGTGGCCTCCACCTTCTTCACCCTGATGTTCTGGTTCTCCACGCGCACCCGGACGTCCTTGATGTGGCGGCTGACCTTGCGCGTCTTCTCCAGCAGCCGGTCGACGGTGGAGCTGGTGTTGGCGTGGTCGCCGGTCAGCTTGACGACGTCCGTCTGGATAGTCTTCACCGTGGTCTCCAGCTCCAGCTGGCGCTCCTCCATGCGCTGCTGCGTGGTCTGGACGCTGTCCATGAGGCCTGCCACGCGCTCCAGCAGCGCCATGATGCTCCCCGCGTCGTCCCCGCCGCCCATCGCCATGCCCGGCTTGTCTGTCATGCTCGACGGTCAGAAACCCAGCGAACCCAAAATGTAGAAAGGGAAGAAGGGATGAGGAAGAGCAGGGTGGACGAAGAGGAGAGACGATCTCTGGCGTGAACAGAGAACTTTATTTTGTTATTTTGAAGGAAGGAAAGAAGATGGAAGCCACGGAAAAGAGGAGGATGAGGGTTGAGGCATAAGGGATCTGATAGAAAGAGAGTGAGGAGTGAGGAGGAATAGAAACCTCCTCTGAAGGACCGGATCAGCCCTCTACCACTGACCCTGAAACCACTCTGACCAGCTGAGAGACTCCACCCTGCTGGGAGAGGGAGGGAGGGACTGGTGAGGCTAAAAGGAGAGATTTAACAATATACTGAGTTAAAGTGAGCACACGAACAGTAAATATACTCGAGTGGAGATCTCATTCCAACTATTATTAATTCAGAGGTCGTGTTCCACTTCTGACGGCTCTGAGGAACTCCTGAACTACCTGCAACCGTCTCATGGACCAGAGACTAGAGATGAAAGTGGATATTAAAGGAATGTGAGTGACATGGATCCTGGCTGCTCTCTGTGTTCTCTGCTGCTAAAAATACAGCGAGGGTAAAGTGACTCCCTGCTCCTCTTTGGGAGGTGAGTGTATTAAAAGGAATGGAACCCCCCCCTCCATCTATTCCTCCATCATCCATCTATCAGCCATCACCTTTTCACTTGTTCTGTCTTCATCCCTCCCTCCAGGGTTAGACTTCTCTGGCCTCCAGCAAGGCTTCCAAAAACGATCCATCGCCGCCATCTTTGTTTCTGGAGGCTGAAGGTGAGACAACGTTCAGTCCAAACACCTTTAATCAATCGACTCTTCTTAACCGTTGAGTCCTGATCAGAGCTCGTCCTCATTCTGATGATTTAGAGCAAAGTAACGATGCGTTCAGGGTTCACTCTCGGTGCTTTAAGATGTTTCAACTCAAGCAAAACATTTGTGTTTATTCTTAAACTGTTTGTAGATTAGTGCTATCGTAGGTTAAACAATAAGTATTCCTTTTTCTGAGTAGTCCTGATGGAGGTGCATCATATTCTGAGAAAACACTACAAGATTAAAGTCGTCAATTTACGAGAATAAAACCTTGATATTCTCAGTTCTAAATCAAAGTTAGGAGATAAACTAGAGTTGTTTTTGTCAAAACACGGCTTCATTTTAAAATTAATCTGATGAGGTATGATTTGATTAGGTCGTCCGCTGCAGGAATAGAGTTATTTTTCTCATAAATTTGTGACTTTAATCTGAGTTTTTATGACTTTATAATCTCAGAGAATGTTCAAGTTTTCCTCGTAGCTGTAAGGCTTTAATCTTTGTTTTATTAATGTTCTTTCTCAGAATATGACCTCGCTGCTCCATCATTTAGTTCATTAACACAGAGTTGGTGCTTGTTGTTGCTGAAGCTGAACTACTTTCTTTCTCTGTCAGAGCTTCTGATCTAGTGATGGATGTAAAGAGAATGTTTCTAGAACACATTACGACCCTTCTTCTATGAAGCATGGCTGCTGAAGCACTTCTGTCTGTGTGTGAGAAGTCGTTAGGATGATGAAGAAGAAGAAGAAAGGATGAAGATGAAGAGGATGACGAGAGAGAAGGGGACTCCCCACCAGCTGCTGTCTGTAATTATCCTTCCGGCACGTTTATATTTAACTCGGCAGCAATCCGCCGGGAGCGCTTGGTTTCCTCTCCTGCTTCCCTCGAGGCGGAGCTCAGATAGAAGAGTTATTGCTTTGTTGTGCAGTTAGTTTGATTTTGTGTTAAAAACGTTCTTGGAGCCAGAAAATCCTGATTTCAGTGAAGGGGTCTGTGATCATGAATACGTTAAAATGAAATAATCTGTAACTTGATTCATATCAGAAGAAGTGTAATTATTATAAGTTGAACTACAGAAATGTGTTCAGGTGGAGCCTCATTGGAGCCTCTAGTGGCCACTAGAGGAACTACATGACGTCACACCTTCAGCTCTCAGCTGCTCCTCACCCTCATCATCAATGCTGTTATGATGACAAAATAATATTTTACTTTTATTCAACTTTATTTTAATTTCCTCCGTTTCATCAAAAACAATAACCAGGCTCATTAAAATTAATTTAATGAATCAAGTTAAGATCTTTAAGAAAGAGATTTAATATCAGTTTCAGGATCTGGAACTATTTATTATAATATCACATTTATGTAATACTTTCTAATCTAGCAGCATATCACAATTATTCTTTATGATGTCATTAATTAAAATAACAATTAACAGCGATAACTGAATAAACGAATCAGCAACATTTTCCTTTAAGAAATTAATAATAATAATAATAACTAATGTCACCGTCTCCAGCAGCACCAGTTTAACCTTTGTGTTACAGACTTTAATATCTTGTAAGGTTTCATATGATGAACTGAATTCAGTGCTTCTTAATGAGATTACAGTCGATACTAAAATGATTTCTGATCAGCTCTGTAGCTTTAAATCCAGTATCTATAATCATAATCACATGCAGCTTTAATGAATACATAGAACCTTTAGTTCTTTAGAGCTTCAGTGGAACCTGCAGAGAGAACAGATGGAAGCGACGACGCGTTGTGTTCAAACATCATAATTTAATTCTAGTTCCACTACAGCACAGATCTACACAACACGTTCACAGTTCATGCAACGTCTATTACAGCCAGGCGGGACCGCCTCTTCAGACGCATCTGACCTCAGAGCAGTCGGACCTCAGGGAGCCTCCCGGCTGCTGAAGTCTAACCTTCTACCACAAGAGAACGAGCAACACGGACACGTGGTTCCATCGCTACGAACCCGACCAACGAAGAAGAAACTCGAGCAACACGGACACGTGGTTCCATCGCTACGAACCCGACCAACAAAAACAAAACGGTTAAATTATCGTCAGCTTGTCAAAACAAATCAAAACATTGGAATCCATTTCCTGAATGGCGTCATCTGAAAATGAATCACTGAATAACATAACTTCCTGTACAGCCTGTTCCCTTAAACAGTAGAAAAAACAGCATTTTGGTTTTCAGGAGCGTCTCGTAACAAAATACAAAAAAACAAAGAAAAGTCTAATCAAGTTGATATGAAAGTTGTTTTTGACCCTGTGAGACACAGCACACTTGAGTTCAGGTTTCAGTGGTCTCTGGTGGTCCCTGTGGTCCTGGTGCAGAGCGCCCCCTGCAGCATTCAGGCCATTATTACACAAAGTCAACCGGAGAAAGAAAAGTTGGTCCAACCATCGAACAGAAGCAGGTTTTAATATTTAACTCATGAAATCTGAAGAAAAAGTTATCAGAACAGAGAACAGGCCTTCAAAATAAAACTACGGATCAGGTTGATCTCTCCAACTATCATAATCATAATAATGATTTAAATCTCACAAGGAACTGAATTCCTAAATGTGATGTTGAATCATTAGTAAAGACTCTGAAGTTATTATAAACATTAATATCAGTATCAAACCAGACTTTCATTTTTACTTCAGAAAATAATTCAATTTAAGATTGAATTTAGTTTTGTCAATCTTAAAAATACTTGAAATCAAGTATTGAAACATTCACCTGGATGGTTTTCAAAGTGAAATATGTCTTCAGTAGTGATTACTGCTATGAACCAGAACCAGCACCAGAACCAGAACCAGCACCGCTCTGCGTCCCACAGGTCAACACTACAAGACACAGCGTGTGTTTCCCAGATTGTTTGTGACGATACAATCAGATAAATTAAGTCAGTTTCCTGCCGGAGGATCCACAGTGTTCCAGAGTCTGAGAGGACGACGAACACAAACTCAACCTGCAGACGGGAACAAAAATAAACAAATATGGAGGAAAATATAAAAAATAAGGCCCCTCAAGAAATTCACAAACTATTCTTAATAAAGGGAGGAAAACAAAAAAGAGGCACCAGAGTCGAGATATCAAAAGAGCAGTCAGTCTGTGGTACGAAAACGTTTTGACTTCTTGTGTTTCATAAAAAGACGACGTGGAGCGGCTACATCATCCGGGAGGACGTTCCTGAAGGGAAGTGACCGAGGTGCTGCTTCTGTCGCCGGCCGCGCTTCGTCTTGTTGCACCTCCTGCAGAACACAACAGGAAGTACACGTCATTAAGTAGACCACAGGAAGTACACGACAGGAAGTACATGACAGGAAGTATGCGACAGGAATTACACCACAGGAAGTACACCACAGGAAGTACACCACAGGAAGTACAGTTTTGGTAGTAGTAGTGATGGTGGTAGTAGAGGTGGTGGTAGTAGAGGTGGTGATGGTAGTGGTGGTGGTAGTAGAGGTAGTTGTGGTGGTAGTTGAGGTAGTTGTGGTAGTAGAGGTAGTTGTAGAGGTAGTAGTAAAGGT